GATTATTAACAATTATTTTTTTTTCATCTAAAAATAGAAAATGTTTAATTTTTCTGTACCATATTAGTGTAAGAAGTTGTTTCTCAATAAAAATTTTGTCTATGAAAACTGTAGTAATTCATTCAAAATCCATTTTTTTCTTATCCTAAACTATTTTATTTAGATCATCAATAATTAATTAAGACCTAAACAATAATTACTTTGTTAAAAAGAACGATTTAGCTCTTGTAATAAAAAAAATAACGAACATTATTATTTTCTCAACTATTCAAATGCAATTATCTCAGTATAACCAAATTTGAGATACGACAGTTTTCCTTGGGACAGTCGATATGCACCGTAATAACACACAAAACCAAATAGGCCCCGATTTCGATTTTTCCCGACGGCCCCCGAATGAGCCAGACCGGGCCTGGTGAGTGACTAACTTAAGTGTGCATCAAACCACAAATTACTAGATAAGGGAACAGTTGACTACTTAAATATTACCAAAAATATGTCATTAGTGAAAACCTAATGTCACAATATTTTGAATTTGAATAACTCATGTTGAACATATACAGGGTGTTTCAGGAGGAGATGTACATACTTTAGTATGTTATTCTACTTTCAATTTTAAGTAAAAGACTTCCCATGAACTTAGGTCTCGAAGTGCTTCGTTTAGGATATACAAGATGTCAAATTAAAAAAAAACTAATTACATTTTCTTTAATAACTCTCGACTACTTCGAGTTACATTAATAAAATGTTGTATACAGAGGTTTCTTGAGTTGGGAAATTCAAATTTTATGGACGATTGACTGTATCTCCCAGAGGGCGCAACAAGCGATTATTAGGATCCTTTTCTAGTTAAGCGATCCCCCATCTTTTCTAGTTAAGAAATGTACACCTTATTGAAGTCTCTAGGAGCAGCCGTTTCCATTAAAAACTCATCTAATGATGATGATGCATGCAAATTATGTACCTATTAGAGTGCTAATTATGTATCAACTTTGTCAGTAAAAAGCATCATTGGAACTAGTTGACGATTAGCGTTGCTCTATTCAAACATTTTTTGTGAGAATTGCAAAAATAAAATCTCTAAACAAAATGTATAAAACCTGACAACAATAACTTTCGATTCACTTTAAAAAGGTACATAATTTGCATGCATCATCATAACAGAAAAAAATTTTAACGGAAACGGCTGCTCCTAGAAACTTCAATAAGGTGTACATTTTTTTAGTAAAAAAGATAGGGGAAAACGTTTTTCTATACCGAAATGACATACACCGTGGCACAAAAAAGTTGAAGCGATTTAAAAGGATACTAATGGTCGCTTGTGACCAAAATTTAAATTTCCCGTCCCAAGAAACCTTTGCATAGAAAATTTCATGAATTTAACTCAAAGTAGTCGAGAGTTGTTAAAGAAAATATAATTAATTTTTTTTTAATTTGACATCCTGTATATCCTAAACAATGCGCTTCCAGACCTAAATTCATAGGAATTTTTTTACTTAAAATTGAACGTAGAATAACATACTGAAGTATGTACATCTCCTCCTGCAACACCCTGTATAGATAATAAATTAAATAATAAATAATGAAAATTAAAAGGCCTAATTAATTATCCAATTAAAAATGATCCTCATATAAACCATGATATCTCAAGTAATAATTCATATTTAATTCATTTTCCCTATGTACCTCATACAGTGTAGAATGAGTAACAAGCAATAATTTATGATGTATGTAACAGAACTAATTTCTAAAAAATAATTATAATTTATATATCTTTCAAGTAAAGAATATCCTTTATTGAATATCTGGACTTAATTGTAAAATATACTGCTAGAATATTATGAAACCACAAAATTAATAAATTAGGAATATACAAGAAAACCGTTTTCCGTTACCGTTTTCAAGAAAAATGACTTTTTATGAACAAAAGCAAACATTTTGCTAACGTTTCGAAAATCTTTTGTAATTCAAAAAATACATATAATAAATTAACAATTTTAACGAAATTTAACAACAGATAAGATTTTAACTTTTTTTTATCAATTTGGCGAGTAAAATTTACAGAAACTGTTCAAAATTACGTCCGTTGGCTTGAATGCTCGCATTACATCTTCTAATCATGTTTCATTCTGCCGCTGCGGCTTCACCTCTATCGGTCAACTTTTCGATAGTATTGACATGGAATGTTAGCAAAAATGTTTGCTTTTGTTCATAAAAAGTCATTTTTCTTGAAAACGGTTGACTTTAGAGCAATAAACCAAGAGAACTCTTATTATGTAAAATTCATTGGCGCTTTAGAATTTGCTGTCAAAAGTCAATTTTTCCAGTGGCGTAAAATTTAGGGGGGGAAAAACCCTTACGGTACCTTAAAATCTCCACCACTCCACTTCTCCGAATGAATTCGAGAAGGGTGCGAAAAAGTAGCTATTAATAGTGGTAATGTGTGTACAAAAGCTCAGTCCTGTAGTTCAACCGATTCCTAAGTTATTGGCGACAAACTAAAAAAAAATTAAAGGTTTGACACCGCGTATCTCGAAAACGAAAGCCCGGAGAGAAAAATGGAAGAGGAAAAAAATTGTTCTTTTTTCAAGAGGAATTTACAGTTTTCCGTTGCGACACTTATTTAGGAACACCCTGTATAAGCACACGTTAAGATACCACTAATATGTCACTAACCTAGTACTCATTTGTGACGGCGATTTGAGTACAATATAACTGACTCATTGAAGTAGAATTGTTTATGAATACGATTAGGGTGAGTTTAGTATAAGCACATATCTAACCCATATGTGACACTCCTTTGATAAGGCACAGATGCCGCCGTTGACCTTGTCCATTTAAACTGGATGCTAAACGTTGCCAGATTGGACAATAAAAATTGATATCTGAAGAAAGTGTTGCCAATTCGAAATATTGAATGAACATGAACATAAAATGCTTACACCTACATTTATCACAATTTTCACTTAATTATTAAAGTGTCTGTCTAACCGGGATGATAAATTAGATAACTAATATATTAAAATAAAATTGCTAAGTGTTCATTAATTTTTTGTTGAAATAAAAATTATACACGTTTAATTTTACATTTTTTATATTAGGACTTTTACTAACATTTTTATTAATAGATTTTATGTGGTAGTAAATTCGCAGAATTACTAGTTATTTTATTAAATAGTCCAAAGAAAAATTTGGACAGGGATGTTGAACTGGAGGTACATCTTTACAAAAATTATAAATGGTGTTTCCTGGGTAGTTACAAATACAATTAGCAATCAAATACAGAAAATATGCCATTTTAACTTCCAAAAGGTATTACACTATATAGTTATGTAAATTTGAAATCGTTTTATCCATGCATTATTAATTCTGGGTGTCCACATTTTTCTATCGACATCTAAAAGAACAATTTATATTATAAAAATTTAATATTTAAACAATTTTTATAAGCAATTTAAGATTACCTATATAAAAAGTAATAATCATACAATTGTTCTTCTTTAGGAAACCGAAAAAATGTATATTTTTATTTTCTTTCTTGCATTTCCGATACTGATTTAGACATTCTTTGTAACTGCAAATAATTGTTAATAAAAACACCAAAGTTTTAAAAATAAATAACTATAAATCCACAGTAAACCACTTTTTAAAACACTTCAATACAGCTAACGGCAACAATGTTTACAAAATGCCCAAAATGGCTATTATATGATTTATACGTAACGTCACTAACATAAACCACACGGAGATAAAACATGTACGGATGTATTCGGGCTTCATCGGTAATGTATCTAATTCACAGATAAAAACCGTTCATACGTAGCATCATTTTATGGGCAAAATAATCAAACATTCTATTTTACTCTACAAAATTTATATATCCTTAAAGTTTTGTATTTCATATTTATTATTCTGTTTAATGCCGAAATAATAGTAAATCCGAAAATATCATCTTACGTTGTTACACAGCTGTTCTGTTGGGAAATACGCATGCGTTCAGTCCCTTTAACTTGGATGTATCTCCATTCGTGTTGCACAAAGTAGCTCTATCTCTCTAAGTGTCGCATATGGGTTAGATATGTGGTATAAGTATGAGTGAAACTTTAGTGAGATCTATGAATTTAGGCCTTAAAATTGTATTTCTAACAAAAAATTCCCATAAACATTTTTTGAATAGTTTAGTTTTTACTTTCGATTTACTTTAATTTTGTTGTAAGCTTACATTAATATAAAAAAATAAGATCTCTAAAACGAGCAGTTCTTTGAAAAAACTGCAGATCTTTTTTCTTAAAAATCCCAATGATAATGAAAAGCACTAATCAAATTTGCAGAATACCCATTGGCGTCGAAGTTCTGAGACTCCTGTTGGTATTGACCTCTCGTATCTACACCAGCGATTTACATATTTGTAAATTAATTTAGCAGCTTCTTACTTCTGCTTAGATAAATCAGTGATCAAAACAGCCTCGAGGTATTTCAGAATTTTTTTTTTTTAATTTCAACTCATCTTGAAAACGATGCGAATTACGACCCACATTCATGTGAAACTTTTTGCTTAAAATAATTTGTTCTATGGGGTCATCCACAAATTACATAAGGGTTCAATGGGGAGGGGGGGGCTCAACATTTTCTTATCATTCCTTATTTGGGGGGGAGGAGGGGGAATGAAATTCTTACGTAATAAAATAATCTTCATTAATTTTTCTATTTTTCTTAATATATATGTATTTATAATATAACAAATATATTAATAAATGTTAGAAGTTGTAAAGCTTTTTTTATAATAAAAAAAAAATTAATTGAATCAAGTAATGTATTACGTAAGGTGGGGGAGGGGAGTTATGAAAAATCTTACGGTTTCTTTACATGGGGGGAGGGGGGAGTTGAAAATGTGAAAAAATACCCTTACGTAATTTATGGATGACCCCTATAACCTTTTGAAGAAACACACTTATTTCAGAAACACCCTATTATGTTCAGACATAAACAGCATAACTGACCTTTGGTAGTATTAACAAAGTATGGTGAAATATATCCTCGGTCAAACTTCATCCCTTCGATAATTTCTAATTCATCATTTAAAGTCTTTCCATCTTTAACAGTAATAACACCTTCTCTCCCTACTTTTTTCATTGCGTCAGCTATAAGATTTCCAATAGAACTATCTCCATTAGCAGAAATGGCAGCTACTTGACAAATTTCTTCTGGTGTGGTAACAGGTTTAGATAAAGTTTTTAAAGTCTCAGTTATTGTTTCTACTGCCAACATAATACCTTTAAGGAAAAAATAAAACAAAATTACATATATTCATTTTGGGAAAATCGAAAAATCAAAATTAATAGGTTATGTAAAATTCAGTTAACTTCAGTTATAACATATAAGCCTAGTTTTACAATAATTCCAAATTTTTTTAACTGTCAATTAAAACTGTTATAGCCTCTCTTCACGATAGGTCATATGTGCAATTTGCTAATGGAAGACATTCTAACCAGATAGTGCCATAGACCAATGCTATCAATCACAAACTAGCTAACATTTTAAATTTCATTAAATGGAAAATATACTTCCATCAAATTATACAGGGTGTCCTGTAATGAATTGTACATAGAGTAATAGGTAATTTGTGATGTCATATTAAAATGTGATCTGGCCAAACTTACCTTAGTCCATAAGTTGGTGGTAACAGAGTTACAGGGTGTCAAAATTAAAATTTTATTATATATATTTTTTTAAATCATCGAAATAATTGATGTATTTAAACGAAATTTGGTGTCCCAGGGTTTTTTTAATGAGAAATTCAAATTTTCTCATAATTTTGGCATACATTCTAGATGGCGCCACTTACGTCAAAAATCCCCGGAATACCAAATTACATTTAAACACATCAATTATTTCAAAGGTTATTTAAAAAAATTGAAAATAAAATTTTGATTTTGACACGCTGTAATTCGGATACTATCAACTTATGAACTAAGGTAAGTTTGGCCTAATCACATTAATATTAAGTTACAAATCACCTGCTGCTCTGTGTACAATTCATTACAGGACACCCTGTATATCCATTAATGAATTTTAAAATCGCAGCCATTGCGGCTAGTGTCATTTACTTGATAAGATAAGTACATATAACTTTTATTTAAATGTAGACCACCAAAAAAGCTTTTTAGAAAATTAGTGAAAAAATGAAGATTTAAATAAAATAGATCAGCGTGTGAATGCCACATCGACACTATCGTTGATCACGAGCCAGAGTCTACCAGCATCATCTAGTTCCAGCCATTGCGCTAATTGGTCGCATGGCCCATCGTGAAGAAGGACCTATAGCATTTTTCAATCTCAAATTTACATCCAATAGCTGAATATACACTGATTTATAGTTCAATTGCATACATTGTAAAGACAAAACTGCTAGTTTGGGTCATCAAGAAAAATTGAAAAAACCAATATTTTGGGGGTTAAATTGCTGCCAAATAATTTGGAGTGATTACTTTGTCACGTACACTAACACAGTGATTAAACAGCTAATAAATCTGTCGTGAATTATTGGGTGATATTTTATAGAGCGTCATCTGCGTGTTAGTATGAATGTTGGAGGAAATATCTACGCGATATGTAAAGTAGGTTAATTTCTGTCTTGAGTTCAGAACATACTACAATTTCAAATATGGCATTAAAAGAATTTATTAGTGGACTGATCGATTTATATCATAATCACCTGTGTTTATGGAAAACAACCTCACAAGAATATACAAATAAAAATATTAAAAACGAGTTATAAGGAATTAGTGGCGTATTGTATTCTTTCCTCAATAACCATGTTTTAACCCACTTTGTTCGCTTTTTATGATTTTATAATCACATAAGCCATCATTCCAAGTAATAGAACGTGTTTAAAATCGTTTTTGTTCATGTTTTCGTAGAACACTCAAGCAAACTATACTTACGAGTAACAAATAAATTACTCTGATTTTTTGGACTGCCGAAAGATCAACGATGACAGAATAATCTTACCAAATTTAGAGATAAATCTTTGTGAATGAAACAGACGTAACAAATAAACAGTTAGGTAAACTTTGTACCATAATTCAATAAAACTTCGCATTAGTGTCCTCTCTAAAATTTGTCTGAAAAATTTTTCTTAATCATTTATCTGACGAATATTTGGTACAATTTATCGCTCCAATAAGTCTTTGCGTGTGTATTCAGCTAATTAGCTAATTTCAAAGGGACGTAAATGCCAAAAGTGCAATTTGAGTAATTTCTCAGAAAAACAATATGAACAAAAGTGCGAATTTCTTAAGGTATACAGGGTGTCCGGTAAGTACCTCCTAATCTCTCGGGAGTGTATAGGGGAGGTCAAAATAAAACTAGTCCTTCCTANACACCCTGTATATATATATATTTCTTTTCTCTTTTATACATCTTGATTTATATAAATTCGTTACAAACTTATGAACTTAGAGCTCACTCGTGGTCACACCATAATGAAATATTTAAAAATAGCATTTAAATATGTCAACTGAAGGTTCCCTCCTCATGTATCATTTCTTCCTATTTCATATTAGACAAATGTCATTTCAAGGTTGATTATGCTATTTATATACTTTTTTCTCCTCTCATTTAACAAATAAGACAACAATAAAAGTTTAAAAATATTTATTATTATTATTTATTCCACATTACAATAAGAGACAATTAATTAATACAATAAAATTTGTTAATATTAGATATATAATATGCCATTTTAAGATAATATATAAATTACATAAAAATTTAATGATATGTTATATATCATCTTCATTACCAGCATTATTTTATTGAGCTGCTAATTTGTATTTTACAACAGCTGCATATGGTAGATAATCCAACAAATTAGAAATAACAAATTGTTTTAGTCCTATCTCCACCATTTTCACACAAAATTGTCCAAATTTAAAGTTTCACTTAAATAATCGGCACATGACGAAGCACCACGGCGATACTTTTCATAATCCTCCTCCAACTGTTTAATTTTTTCTTCAGAGAAGCAGTAATTCATGTCATAATTAGATGCGTGAAGACAATCTATTGCCACATAATCTAGCTCATTCATCAATCTCTTTACGGCTGACTGGAGGTCCTCAGCATCGGTCCAATTTTGGCTAGCATAATGCATCCACATTTTCAATAGTTCTATAAATAAAAAAAATGATATTACCTATTGGAATTATAAAACATTAACAGAGAAGCCACCTTATATTATTATACTGACTAAATAGTGTAAATTACTTATATTGACTAGAATATATATATATAACATTTGTTACTACTAGATATATATTTTTTTATTTAAATTAAATAAACAAAAATTAAATGACAATTCCAAATTTTAACAACGCTTTACATTTACCATCTTTAAATGCAGGGTCACTTTGACCTAAATAAGTTATCGTATATTGTTCCCAAGAGGAATTCATTTTATTCAAAATATCCTCTTTTATGTGTTCTGTAGCCCTCTTTGGTAAAAACACTTGAAATTTAAATTACACTTTTCATCAAACAATATAGCTAAAATGGATTATCCAAAACGTGTATTGACAAAAGATAGTTTTTTATCGGATAATCAGGCCGAGTATGTATCCCATTTACGTTAAAATGTTATGTTAGAAATAACGTTTGTAAATAACATGCCGTAATAACATATATCTTATAAGTATCCGTCAAACATACATGTTATTTAATTGTAATGAAATGAAACAGAACACGGCCGCTATTTTATGTTGTACGTACCCGTTATTTACGAGTTTGCCCTCTACGTTGTAGGTATTTGTTTCATGTTTCATAACAACAGACTACGTACCGGCAAAACGAAACCATCAGAATTAAAACTTATAAATGCTTTATGACAACAGTTTGCTACTAAAGTTAATTTATTGAGCATGAATTTGGGGAAAAACCACACAAAACAAAAAAAAATTAAAAGACGTATTTTTTTTTATCGGCGGAAAAACATGTTTAGGGGTGAAATACATCTTCAAAGTTCGCCCCTGCTCAAAACAGATTTTTCTAAATATCTGGGGTTCTCATCAATATTTTGGAACGAATCAAAATGCAAAATTACTTCTTATAAAAAACCAGTTGTTTCATTAGTGTTTTCGTGTTTGGGGGTTGCTACCCTTATTTTTTATTTCAGACTATATTTTTCAAACAATTTTTATAGGTATATAAAAAATTCATATTTGTTAAAAAAAATTAAAAATATGATTTATGTAAATAAATTGACAAAATTAAGTTCTCTTTTTAAGGGGTGAACAACCCCCTAGTGTGCGAAAAATTTCTGTGCTGACTAGAATTAACATTTTAAAATAAAAAGTTTTTACTTTTTCTCTAATCATACGAATAATTTTTTCTATTGGTCTAAAACGGATTTAAACTGATGCAAACTACCCCTGCTGTTCATCAACTACCCCTGCTGTTCATCCCCCAATAAACGGGTTCAGTAATTTCCATTTTGTTTCATTCCAAAATATTTATTAGAATCCGAGATATCACGGATATACTGTTTTTGGGGGTGAACATCAGGGGTAGTTTGCATCTGTTTAAATCCGTTTTAGACCAAGAGAAAAAATTATTCGTATGATTAGAGAAAAAGTTAAAACATTTTTCGCACACTAGGGGATTACTAGGGGGTTGTTCGCCCCCTAAAATGAGAAATTATTTTTGTCAATTTGTTTACATAAATCATATTTATTTTTAATATTTTGAATCAATATGAATTTTTTATATATAAAAAATGTTTGAAAATATACTTTGTTTTCCTGAAATAAAAAATAAGGGTTGCAACCCCCAAACACGAAATCACTTGTGAAACATTTTATTTTTTTAAAAGAAGTAATTTCCATTTTATTTCATTTCAAAATATTGAGATGTCACAGAAATATTTTGGGGGTGAACATGAGGGGTAGTTTGCATCCGTTTAAATCTGTTTGCGGCTAATAGAACAAATTATTCGTATGATTAGAGAAAAAGTAAAAACTTTTTATTTTGCAATGTTAATTCTAATCGTACAGACATTTTTAGCACACTAGAGGGTTGTTCACCCCCTAAAAAGAGAACTTTATTTTGTCAATTTCTTTACATAAATCATATTTTTTATTTTTTTTAATATGAATTTTTTTATATATAAAAAATGTTTGAAAAATATAGTTTTTCTGAAATAAAAAATAAGGGTAGCAGCCTCCAAACACGGAATCTAATGTGAAACATTTGTTTTTTTATAAGAAGCAATTTCCATTTTTTTTTTTTTTTTCATTCTAAAATATTGACTAGAACCCCAGATATTTAGAAAAAACTGTTTTGGGGGGTGAACTTTGAGGATGTATTTCACCCCCTAAATATGTTTTTCCACCGATAAAAAAAATATGTCATTTAGTTTTTTATGTTCTACAATTGAGTCTACAACATATATAAAAATATGGGAAATTGGAGAGTTCGGGTTAGGGTAGTTTCCTTGTTAGATTCTTCGTTTGATTTAACCTAACAATAATTTTAGGGTAAATACTTATATATACGTACGTTATAGTATATATTACTACCTAATTACTTAAATTTTACAACTTACCTTCGAAGTGCGTTTATAAAACCGGCAAGTAAATGGAAATTTTACAAGCCGTTCATTTTCATTAGACAAATAACACCTACGTTAAACTATAGCAACACCAAATTCCTTGCCTTTAAGAAACTCTGTTATAATTTAAGATAACATGTTACAAACTATTTTATGTTGTATTTACCCGTTATTTACGAGTTTGCATTTGTTTCATATTTCATAACCTAAATGACATATGTCAGTTATATGTGTTTTTGTCTAATACTGACTCTTATTTATAATAATTTTGCATAATTATTATTAAAAATGTCGACACAAAAGCGTCTTCAAAAAAACAACAAAATTGCAATACGAGTATTTGCTAAAAATGGTCTTAATTCCTCAATAACATGCACGTTATATCTTAACAGGTAACGTTAACAACCCTGAAATAACATAACTGTTATTATGATATATCATTGAATTCACCGTTAATATTAATATTTATTTTATTTAATTCATCAATTGATAATGCCATTTTATATTATAATATATAATATCTAGTCAGCAATAAATACAATAATTGTTCTCACTTCAAACATTTTTGACACAAAATTTACACTATTGTAGACGCTCACTGCAGGGTTGGCACACAACGAAATGTAATTCTTCACTTTGATCTCTTCTCTTATATAGAAAATACACTGCAATTCAAATGCACCACGTCATAATGTCATTGTATACACAACATTAAAACAACTATTTAATTTCAAGGTTAAATGCATTGTTTAAACGTAAATTAAGCGAACTGCGTCACATAATGTGATATTTTTCGTCTTTTGAACTAGCTCAAAGTCACCACACCCTCATAAAATATTTATCCACACCGATATACATATTTCAAATTTAATTTCCAGGTTAACTGCAATGTTTAAAACGTAAGACAAATGAAGGTCATAAACAATCTTCCTTATTCACACCACACTACACAAATTTAATTTCAAGGTTAACGGCAATGCCAAAGTCAAATGAAGGTTATCTTCTCATGTAAAAATACACCTCTCCCACATACCATACAAATCTAATTTCAAGGTTAACTGCAATGCAAAGGTCAAATGAAAGTCACCAACCTACGTCATTTTCTTCGACTTTCAGCCTCAAGGTCATCCATACACCATCGTCATCGGCCTTCGACCTCAAGGCCATTCCAAGACAGAAAGTGGAGGGGGAGACTCCCTGCCGGCTAAAATACCCTACTTTAGTTTTTCCATTTAGGGTAAATACTTACCTAAGTTACTTAAATTTTACAACTTACCTTCGATGTGTGTTTATAAAACCGGCAAGTAAATGTAAATTTAACAAGCCGTTCATTTTCATAGACACGTACGTTAAACTATAGCAACACCAAATTCCTTGCCTTTAAGAAACTCTTGTTATAATTTAAGATAACGTGTTACAAACTATTTTATGTTGTACTTACCCGTTATTTACGAGTTTGCATTTGTTTCATATTTCATAACCTAAAAGACATCTGTCAGTTATATGTGTTTTTGTCTAATACTGACTCTTGTTTATAATAATTTTGCATAATTATTACTAAAAATGTCGACACAAAAGCGTCTTCAAAAAACAACAAAATTGCAATACGAGTATTTGCTAAAAATGGTCTTAATTAATTAACAGTTAACGTTAATCTTAAATAACATAACTGTTATTATGATAAAACGGGATACATACTCGGCCTGAATGACACGTTGTGTTGCGAAGAACTGTACTAATTCTTCAGCAGTTTCGAAGGGTTCCGGACAGAAGGAAGCAATGGTTAATAAAAACAAACCGACAGAATTGGATCACAACAGATAATTCATATTTATGTGAGGTATGTTTTATAATGTCTCTCTTAACCGAGCTTTTAACACAGGCCGTTAACTTCATCGGTGCTTATTTTACTTGTAGGTTCATTTTGCACCTGAAATATGGGAAAAAACCCGTGAGGATGGTAGTCAGAAATTAAAGGCCAATGCTGTTCCAACAATTTTTTCATTTTCCAAGCCGAAAAATGCAAGAAAATTGCCCAGCTAGTCCGTCACAGTTCGGTATATATATTGAAATTATTTTTTAAATATTTTGTTACACATTGTAACCTACTTATTGTTAGTTGACCTACTTACATAACATACTTGTTTGTAATGTACCTACCCAAAATAACAACGATTTCTGGTGTGGCATTGTAGCACATAAGCCAAGCCAGATGTGTTGGACTACCATCTGGGAATATCGAATTCTATGCAGTCGCAAATCCTTTTGTAGTACTGCTAATTAAATTGTTTTCCAACATACCTTGGATGATTTTTTATTTATTAAAGAATACACTTCTCACGTCTTTTTTTATCTTGTTTTAGGTGAACCCAAAAAACCTCAAGAATGTATGCTAGCAGACTTTGATGTCAAGATTCAGGAAAGTTTAAGGACACAGCAATGTACTTCCACTGCAGATTTACCAATTAGTCTTAGTCAGTACTTCACCTCTCGGTCTACATCAAGCGAAGAAAATGTACTATCTCCTCCTATATCTCCTCTAACATTTGAAGTTCTTCAAAATGAAGCAAATATATTAACTCGACTTAAAAAATATGAAACACTGTATTTCAAAGAAAAATCCAGAACCGAAAAATATAAAAAACTTTTAAGGAATGCTAAAAATAAAATGAAAAATATCGAAAAAAATGCGTCCTTCTCCCCTTCTTAATGAAGTCTTACTAAATCGTTTATTTAATAAAGATCAAATCATGGCTTTGAGAAAAAACCATAATAGCAAATCAACAATATTCATGAAATGGTCAAATCAAACCATCACTAAATCTTTTAAACTCAAATTAAGTTGTGGAAACAATGGATATAAAGAACTGTTAAAGCAGGGATTGACATTACCCTCTGTTGGGATTTCTTAGTTAAAAAACAAAAGTGCGTGGCACCCTTTACTTGTGGTTCGTGTGTGGACAAACAGATGGCGCGAGATGTGCATAAGTGTAGGAAATGGGGGAACGAACATGAAAAGAGGGAGTGTGTTACAGTCCACTATAGAGCACACATGTATTTTGCAAAAAGTTGTAAAGTAAAAAGTAAAGCATTATACCAGCCCAATTTTCAAGTGTCATTAATTCAAAACATTGGTCCAGCGAGCCACATTCGGATAATTGGCAAAATCAAGCAAATTTGTAAGAAAAACTACATCAAAGAAAAGCCGAAAAGGATTGTGCCGGCCGGCTAGAAACAACAGGTGCATTGAAGCAGAGTGGAGCAGTCGCAGAGTGAATCGCCGAAACGCCAAGTTTTTCGCAGCGAATCGACTGGTCAGCTACATTACACAAAAAGTGAGTCTGTTCCATTATTTACCTACAATATACAGTTCTTGACTTGTGTCAACCTGAAGAGTTATTACGTAATAACTAGAGCTGTAAGAAATCGTTACTATTCGTTATTCGAGTACTCGTTACTCGACACGATCCGAACTAACGATTACTAAAAAAATTACGTTATCGTTACTTCACTACTCGAGTACCCGATTTTTGCAAGAGATGTATGTAGTAAGAGAAGGTGTAGATCCGAATACTGAACCGCTATCGCCGAATCCACTGGTAAAAACGAAACTGACCACTGTAACAAAAATGAACTCTACTCCATCATTAGCCAGATCTTGAATTTAAAAATTGTACAGATTACTACAATATGTATAAACGTGAAATTCAAATATTGTAGAATGCTACACTACACTGAGTCTGAAAATTTCCCGTATATCACCGAAATACAAGCTGAAAATCAAATTATTTACTTTTGATAATTTAAACACTTTAATGCTGCGTAACATAAGTTTCTAAATCGAAATTTGCAGGTAGTAGGTACCGATTACCTAACCTGCATAAGTAACTTCGGATCCCAAACCGTTATAATCCGACTGCTGCAGTACTCGTACTACCCGTACAGCACCTTTTGAACTTCGAGTACTCGAATAACTGATCCGAAGTAACGTTTACTGTATGAAAAAGTAACGAGTAGTTACAGGTACCGACAAGTAACTGAATTTTACAGCTCTAGTAATAACAGTAAATTCACACAATTGCAATTAGTAACCTATTATATCACACAAAAATAGCAAATTCATTTATTTGCAAAATGAACGACGATTATCAAACATTAGTGCGAAAAAGGGCATCCCTTAAATCAAAATTAACTAGTTTTAGTAATTTCACAAAAGCCTTAAATGATAAAACGAAAAAAGAGGAAAATCCCGGCGAGTTAGATCTCATTCAGTTAAACGAAAGATTAAATAAAATCACAGAAACATTGTTGTCCGATTTCGACGAAGTACAAATACTTCTAGAAAATGCGGCAGAAAACATGGAGGAACAATTTTCCGAGCGCGATACATTCGAGACAAATTATTACAATCAAATTTCACTAGCCAAGCAATTACTCAAAAATTACGCAAGCGATGACAAGTCGGAAAAATCCGTATCTACAAAAAGTTCTAGGAAAGTCAAAAAAAGTGACGATATCGAGGGCATTAGATTACCGGAAGTAGATATACCAAAATTTAATGGGGAGCATACTCGTTGGTTAGAGTTCCGTGACACGTTTCGGTCTTTAATTCATGAGAATGAAAGCATTAAGCAAATCCAAAAATTCCATTATCTAAGGGCTTCGTTGGTAGGCAAAGCAGCCGAATTTCTAATGTCAGAGGAATTCTCAGAAGCAAGTTACGACGGTGCATTGCAAGCCATGTTAGAACGATTCGATAACAAGTGTCTTTTAATAGACAAACATATCAAAGCATTGTTCGATTTAGAACCAGTTCAAAAAGAGTCATCAGAAAAAATTCGTAACGTAATACATACCGTTTGGCGGCATTTGCGAGACTTGGAAAAGTTAGAACAATCAACTGCAAATTGGGACGCGTTAATTATCCATTTAGTTATCTCAAAAATTGATATAACAAGCTCACGCAAGTGGGAAAGTCGTAAAACAAAAAATTTGACTCCAACATTGGACGATTTAAAAATATTTCTAAAAGAACGCGCTGAATATTTAGAATCGCTTGAAGCAAAAAAGTCAGACCATTCAGATAGAAAATCTAGTAAACAAAATTCATCACCAAACGTAAGAGGTTTCGTCTCTAACACGCCTATGTGTGGGTATTGCAAGCAAGATCATTTCATTTATTCGTGTAGCGAATTCAAAAATCTCCCTGTACAAGAACGTATAAAAAATGCACAAAAAGCTAAGCTTTGCCTAAATTGTTTGAGGTTTGGTCATAATAGTAAAACATGTCGTTTAGGTAATTGTAAGCAGTGCAATCTTAAACACAACACGTTACTGCACATTGAGCGTGAAAAAACGGGCGAAATGGAGACAGGTGCCTCGGCGGCGTCGGCAGATTCGCGCGGTACAAAGGAAAACGAATCGGTAGCGCACAATGTCTCTTTGTCTTCTTATTCATCAGTACAAGTGTTGTTGTCTACGGCATGCGTACAGATATACGATAATGATGGAAAAGCACACATAATCAGAGCGTTATTAGATTCGGGTTCTATGTCTAGTTTTATAACAGCAGATCTTTGTATAAAATTAAAATTAGAATCAACAAAAGTTGACTGCGCAGTGGCGGGTTTAAATCAAGCGGTTTCCAAGATAAACAAAAAATGCAATGTCACATTAAAATCACTAAATTGTGAATATACTACCACCATTTCGTGTTTAGTTTTGCAAAACATTACTGGTGATCTTCCTAGCATTAAAGTAGACACAAAGCAGTTTAACATTCCGGGAAATAAATAAAATAGACATATTAATAGGAGCAGATTTATTCTGGAATTTATTATGCGTCGGTCAAATTAGCGCAAGTGCTAATAAGCCGGTACTACAAAAAACAAAATTAGGGTGGATTGTGTCCGGCCCAGTAAACATTCAATATCCTACTAAAATTCAGTGTAACTTTTCGGAGAATATCGACATACAGCAGCAACTATTCCGTTTTTGGGAAATCGAGGAAACTGCGACTAAAGCTTTATCTGAGGAGGAAAATGCATGTGAGGTTTACTTCCAGAAAACAACTACGCGAGACTCGAGTGGTAGATTTACCGTATCAATTCCATACAAAGATTCTTGACATAAGTTATGTGATTCGCGGGAGCAAGCAACCAGGCGTTTCATGCCCTTGGAAAAAAGATTACAGAGTGATCATAAATTGAAAGAGCAATATATTCAGTTCATGACCGAATACATAGAGTTAGGCCACATGTCAAAAGTGACAGATGTCAATGATTCGAGTGCTGATTCAATTTCGTGCTTTCTACCTCATCAAGGTGTCTTGCGCGAAGATAGTCTCACGACAAAATTACGTATAGTATTTGATGCGTCAGCAGTAACGTCATCGGGATACTCATTAAACAGCTTACAAATGGTAGGTCCCACAATACAAGAGGACCTTCTGTCGATTTTGTTACGCTTCAGAAAACACGCATTTGTCATTTCGGGCGACATTGCCAAAATGTATCGCCAAGTTCTAATCGAAAAATCTCAACGGCCATTGCAACGAATAATTTGGCGGGAAAATCCAAATTCCGATTTATTAATATACGAATTAAACACGGTTACCTACGGTATGACCGCGGCCGCGTTTTTAGCGATACGATGCCTTCACCAATTGGCTCTCGACATAGAAAAAAGCAAACCGAACATAGCAAAAATCATCAAAAGAGACTTCTATGTAGATGATCTGTTATCCGGAGCAGATACAGTCTATGAAGCTTCACAAATATGCAAAGAGGTATCTGACGTGATATTAACTGGCGGTTTTGAACTGCGAAAATTTTACTCAAACAATCCGGATGTGCTAAAACACGTACAATGTGACAATTCGGAAATGAAATGTGTACAATTCGGGGTAAACGAAAAGGCAAAGACTTTAGGTCTTATTTAGGATTGTCAAACGGACAATTTAACTTACACTATAAACAATTGTTCAGATAATCAGACAGTTACAAAACGCACAATATTGTCTAACATTGCTCAAGTTTTTGACCCGTTAGGTATACTAAGTCCGTGCACTATAACGGCAAAGATTAGTTTGCAAAAATTGTGGCTTCTGAAAACAACGTGGGATGAAGCGATACCCGCGGATTTACACACAACTTGGTCAAAACTTAGGAGCCAATTCCCTCAGCTAGGTAATTTAAAAATTAAACGTCATGTCACATGTAGTAATCCAGCAAATATCCAACTTCATTGTTTTTCCGACGCTTCGGAGAGTGCATATGGAGGCGCAATTTACGTTCGATCCATAGATCAAAAAGGCAGCGTATCGGTGCATCTTTTATACGCAAAAACGAGAGTCGCACCATTAAAAACAGTAACCCTACCGCGATTAGAGTTATGCGGCGCTCTCACGGTCGCAAGGTTAGCTAGAGAAGTTTTGTTATCATGGGAAATCAAATTTCATAAAATTACATTTTGGACTGACTCTACTATTGTGTTAGGTTGGTTGAAAATGGCTCCAAATTCATTGAAACCCTTTGTAAGTAACAGAGCGGCGGAAATACAAGAAATCACGAATTCACAGGAATGGCGTCATATATCAAGTAAAGATAATCCGTCAGACTTATTAACCAGAGGCGTAAACCCTAGTCAATTAAAAGGCTTGCGTATGTGGTGGCACGGGCCAAAATGGCTAGCAGAGAATGAATCGAATTGGCCAAATTCAAACTTAAAAATTGTAGACTTACCGGACAAGAAAGTGAACAAGGACGCTTGCATGATAACGATAGAAACGAGCGAATTCCCGTTCCAAAAGTTCTCAAATATTCATAAAATCAAAAGAGTAGTCGCGTATTTAGTTAGGTTTAAAAACAATTGTAAAAAACAACAAGGTCTGCGAGAAAATGGCCCACTGTCGGTAAAAGAAATTGACTTCGCGTTCAATCATTTAATAAGAATTTCGCAACAGCAATCATTCCCTATTGAATACAGCAATCTCGTAAATCAGAAAGAAATTAGTAGCAAAAGCCGGTTATTAAGCTTAAGCCCATTTATTGACTCCGAAGGCATCATGCGCGTAGGAGGGCGACTTCAAAAATCAAAATTTACATTTCAGAAAAAACATCCTATACTAACTTATTCTAAGCATCACTTGACTAAAACTCTTTTTATTAGTGAACACCTTAGACTATTACACGCGGGACCTCAATTAATTTTAGCATCATTAAGAGAAAGATTCTGGCCAATCATGGGTCGTAATCTAGCTAAAAAAACCGTGCGCCAGTGCGTAACATGCTTTCGTCTTAACTCACACACAATACAGCCTAAAATGGGACAACTACCCCAAGAACGTCTAATACCGGGTCCTCCGTTTGACAAAACCGGTGTTGATTACGCCGGGCCTTTTACAATAAAAGATAAGAAGGGACGTGGGGCTAAACACAGCAAGTGTTATATTTGTCTATTCATATGCTTTGCCACCAAGGCCGTACATCTAGAACTCGTAACAGAGCTTAGTAAAGATGCCTTTATTTTGGCTTTGAAGCGATTCGTGTCACGAAGAGGCCGACCTACCCAAATATTTTCAGATAACGGTACAAATTTCGTGTCTGCTGCGTCAGAACTTAAGTTATTAGGAAAATTTTTAGCTAAACATGAACGTGGTATAACCGAATCTGCGTCATTAGAAAATATCGATTGGAAATTTATTCCTCCCCATTCTCCGCATTTCGGTGGCTTATGGGAAGCCGGTGTCAAATCGAGCAAGCATCATTTAAGACGGGTGTTAGGCAAAACAAGTCTCACCTTTGAAGAACTTTATACGCTAATCACTCAGGTTGAGGCAATCTTGAACTCGAGACCTTTGTTTCCCATGTCAAACGATCCTAATGATAGATCATTATCACTCATCATCATCATCCCATCACTCCGGCTCACTTTCTTATAAGCAGGCTATGTACCACGTTGCCTGAACCTGACTTGAGAGAAGTTCCCGTAAATAGATTAAGCCGTTTTCAATTAATAAGCAAACTGAGACGAGATTTTTGGGTCCGTTGGCAGAAAGAGTATGTCAGCGAGTTACAGCAACGAACCCGCTGGAAGAAAAACTGTGGCAGTGCGCTGTTGTTCATCAGTACTAATCAAAGACGACAATCTTCCTCCGCAAAAATGGAAACTAGGACGTATTGTGACGCTACATCCAGGATCAGACAACATAGCAAGAGTTGCAACCATCCGCACTTGTAATGGCGATGTCAAGAGAAGTTTCTCAAAAATCTGCCCTTTGCCTATCAGTGACAGTCATTACTAAGTTCGTGGTGTTTGCTGTTGAAAGCACGCACTTTCAAGGGGGGGTGTATGTTGGGATTTCTTAGTTAAAAAACAAAAGTGCGTGGCACCCTTTACTTGTGGTTCGTGTGTGGACAAACAGATGACGCGAGATGTGCATAAGTGTAGAAAAAGGGGGAACGAACATGAAAAGAGGGAGTGTGTTACAGTCCACTATAGAGCACACATGTATTTTGCAAAAAGTTGTAAAGTAAAAAATAAAGCATTATACCAGCCCAATTTTCAAGTGTCATTAATTCAAAACACCCTCTATCAGGACACCTCAAAGAAAATTGCTATATTTAAAATTCAATTCTGGAATTCTCGATGAAGTATTTCAATTTTTAAAACTAAAAGTTGTGTTTTACTTTTAGATGAAATTGCAATCACCCCAGGATCAACCTTTGATGCATCATTAAATAAATATTTTGTAGAAATTACTCCTCCTCAGCATACCGGAACAACAACTCATGTACTTGTTTTTATGCTAGGTGGTATATCCACTCGATGGAAACAAGTGGTGG